TAGCCCTTCCCCCACAATGCGCTGCCTATGATGATCCAAACAAGAGAAGCCAAGTCAGTCTTAACTACTGGCGTTAAACCTTAATTGGATTTTTTGCTAAGTGTGTGTATCCATTCCAATTCCCACCTCCTTATTTCCCGATAAAAGATTTAAAATCATCAGGTGCAACACAGGGGAATAGAGAAGGGGAATCCATGAGTCCATTGTTGGGGAAAACTGTGGTGGTATAGTCACTCGTGTGCTCATTCACCCATGCCGTGAATACTCGTCTATATCTACACACCAGGCCAGGAATGCAAGACACTGTCCCTGCCCTGTGGACACTAATCTAGTGCTGGCAAACCCATGGCACATGTGCTGCAGTTAGCTTTTTGTTGCTATTGAAAGCTCTAAAGCTTTCACCATTGCTGATGTAATCAGTCAGAGACAGACATCAGCCAGCCACCAAATAACCATAAAAGTGCAATGTGTAGGCACTGATAATACTGCCTCTGATACCGGGAGGAAGCTGGAGATCTTGGGGGGCGGGCACAGAGGCAGGTCTCTGTGTGCCTGCCTGCCTTTGTTTTGTTTTTAAGTTCTTACTCGTAATTGTGTGTGTGTGTGTGTGTGTGTGTGTGTGTGTGTGTGTTTGGTACTTGGGATTGAACCTAGCACCTTTACCCTGAGCTACATCCTTGTGTTTTATTTTGAGACAAGAACTTGACTCAGTCACTCAGTTGCCCGTGCTGGGCAGGGCTTGAACTTGTGATCACTCTGCCCCTAACTTTTACACTATAAAATAATACCACGGAATCGCTTAGTGTCTAGAATACCTAACACATTGCTATAATACAATTAGGGGTAAGAACCTATCTGTTAATTTGACAGGCGAGACTTGATATCTGTCTGCCTGAACTTCCTGATGCATCTATGTGTATGTGTTGATGATTCTCCAGTGACGATTTCCTTTCTACTGTCTCCTATGTCTGATTGCCAGGTTCAAGCCTATCTGACATGTTGCAAACTGCGTTCTGCTTACCTGATTGCAGTGAAGCAAGAACACTCACGGGCCACCACCCTGGTGCAGCAGGTGCAGCAGGCTGCCAAGAGCAATGGGGATGCAGTCGTGCAGGACATCTGTGCTCAGTGGCTTCTGACAAGCCGCTCCCGCAGTGCCCATTGCTCAGGCTCCAGAAAGTGACCCTAGGTAGCAGGGCCCGAAAAATGTAGCCTGAGCATTCTGATGGCAGGAGCCATCCCCTCCACTTCCGTCCCCCTGTGAAGTGGGATTCTTCTGGCTCTACCCTAGGTCGGAAAGAGCTGGGTTTGACCCTTACTTGCCTGCTTGGGCAAGGACAGAACCTTTCACGCAAGTGCCATGTTTCTGTACAGTTGTGGACTGTGAGTGTTTATCTGGAGATGGCCAGTTCTTTCTACCTCAGAGTGAGTGTGTGTGTGCACGCTGCACGTACCTGTGCATGCTCCTCACACTCATGTTTACGCCCTAAGCATTCTCTAAACACATAAGACTTCCCTCCATTGAAATGAGGCACTTTACTTTAGACTTCTGACTGTCTGAAAACCTTCCCTGCGTTTTGGTTCTTAACCCGGGTTGTCCTGTTTGTACACAGTCCCCTCGGTGTGGACTTGCTTTAGTAGCTCCTCTTACCTAGAGGGATTTTACAGAGAATTGGAGAGCAACACCAAAAAGGTTGCTTATTTTCCCTCCCCGATATTCAGAGATGGCTTTGGGACAAGTGCTGTCTGTGGAATAAAACTGCTTTCAGGTGTCTCTCTCACGAAGCACAAGGAGTTGACATGACTTTTTGGAAGGTAGAAGGGAACAAAGCTTTCTGGGTGCCAGCGTCTGAATGCTCTGGCTGACACCCAGGCAGGAGGCATCCCCACCACATTCTCCCAGGTGAGGGGAAGGCGGACCTCAGCAAACATGGAGGAAGGGTGGGTGTTTACTCACAAGCACAGAACTGGTGCTTGTGAATAGCCCTGCTGCCAAGTTTATGGATGAAGAAACGTGGTTCCCCCTTTGAGAATCTGAAGAGAGAAGTAGTACCTAGCATCCAAGGACTGAATGGCTAGACTTTGGTACCGGGGGTCGAACTCGGAACCTTGCGCTTGCAAGGCAAGTGGCCGAACCACTGAGCTAAATCCCCAGCCCCTGGACTTTACCTGTTTGACTCTCACTACTATTTGTGCCTCTTGAATTGATTAGGAAACCACTTCCCCTTCCCTCCTGCTTCCTTCAGTCTTTGGGGAACTACAGATGGGTTTGCAGACACCTGGGTCACTGAGCAGCAGTGCATTTCTTTGCCATCTTAACAGAGTCAGGAGCTGGGCCTATGGACAAGAGAATAAAAGGACAATGAATAGGTCACATCCATTTGGTAGGAAACTAGGTGAAGCAGTTCTGTGATGTGCATCAGCTTGTCTTTCCACCAATGTGTGAGAAAATACATGTCATCCTCAGTGACTTTGGTCTGCAAATGAGGGACCTAAAGAAAAGCTCTGCAGCCCTCAGCCTGTCCATCTCACCTTTGATGCTGAGACAAAGAGGAACTGGAAGATGAAGACACTGTCTCTGGTGCTTAGAAGTCCTGTGGAACCCTCTGAATCTAGTTTTCTAACAGTAAAATAGGCAACTTGTGGACATCTATCAGATGGAAAGGGATAGTCCCATTGGGGGAAAAGGCTCTGAGGAAGATACCAGATCCCTTTGAGGTGACGTCTGACAGATAACCTTTCCTTCCTTGAGTCATAGGGTGCATCCAGCTCCCGGGAAGACATTGCTGCCTGGCGTCCTCCCTTCTGAGTCTGCCCTTTTTGCACTGAACATAAGCACTTTATACAAGTGGATCACAGGTCTTAAGGCCCTGAATTTGGGATGTTAAGACCAGATTTGCCTGACATTTCCCTCTAACTAGCTGACTATAAAGTAAGCAACCATTGGTTAGACCGATAAGAGGAGACTGAGCATAATACTGTGGTCTCCAGGAAAATAACACCAAAATAGATGTGCGCATTGAGGGTTTGAATGTTTAACCACAACCAAGCCACAATAAAAAATGTCTGTCCAAGTAGATTCTTGGCTTCCTGACTTTGTGCTCTCACTCTTGCCCCTCCATTCCTTTCTCCTTGTGTTCTCTGAGGAAAGAAAAGGCGAGTGGGAAAGATCAGGAAGGTGAAGGATGGGGAAAAAGAAAGAGCAGATAAGTAGAAAAAGAAAGAAAAGAAGGGTGGGACATGGTAGAGAAATAGATAAAGTGGGAAGAGAGAAACCAGAAATTATAAAAGCTTTGGGAGAAATTAGTTCATCCCAAAGAATTCTGCAGTGTTTTTTGTGAGGCAATAAGACTGAAACAGGAAGAGCCCTTTATTTTCTTAGAAAGAGTACACAGGCAGGAGGTGTGAGAGGAATGGCAGAGAATTTCCCCAAGACAGAGGAAGCCTGTGGCCTCTCAGGTTGTCCCCACTCACCCCATGCTGGTGGAAGTGGTCACACTATAGCCCCTGGCTTTCTCAAAAAGGGGTGAGTTACATCCAGGGACAGGAGCCCAGGGCTGGAGCGTGAGATTGTGAACCTGGGGTTCAGGCTACAGCTGGGGTGCCAGATGGGTAGAAGGCTGGCAAGCTATATTAGCTTTTCATTACAGAGAAAAAAAATGCCTGACGTACACAATTTAAAAGAGAAGGAATTTACTTTAGCTCACTGTTTCAGAGGTTTCAGTGCATGGTCAGCTGGCTCAGAGGTGGCAATGTCATGGAGGAAGGGCAGGGTGGACAAAAGCTGCTGACCTCATGGTATCCAGGAAGCGCTGCACAGGGAAAGACCAGAGAGGAAGGGCCCAGAAACCAGATACAGTGGCCAAAGTCGTGCCTCCCTGACCTCCCCAACATACCCAGAAGAAATGGGCTTTATTGATCTACTGGGCAGATTGCAAGCAAATCAAGTTGACAATCTTGTTCTAAGTTGCAGTCCCTCAATTGCTGGAGAGGCTGGACATGTTTACTTAGGTATAGATGCATGTGCATTGCTTCTGCAAATGTACTGTTTATCCCTTTTGCGAGGTTCTTTGTTGAGCTTTGTCTCCTTATTGAGAAGCAGAAGTTCTTTACGTAACAGCTAAAAATACACCTTTGTACAAGATATCTATATATCCACAGATCTATACATGTGTCTATCTATAGATGTGCTGTAGTGTATTACTCTGATTCTCCCTTTCAACAGTACACACTCATTGGCTGGGTCTTCTGGAAAAAAATCTTTCCATCTTTTCATAACAATTTCTCTTTCTCTGAAACAGACCAACAATTGAAACACACTTGTGAGTTGAACAGGGAAGTTTGAGCTCCAAGTATTAAACAATATTCAGAAATTATTGTATTAGGAGTAACGATGGTGATGTTGTTTCAAGTTTTTAAAGGGTTTTTACTAGAAACATATATGTAAGTATGTATGGGTGAATGACAGGATATCTGCAAAGTGCTTTAATATAGCCCAGACCTACCTCCCCCCAAAAAAACCCCATAAGGTAAACAGATAAGTTCAAAACTTGACAATGTTGAAGCTGAACAATGTGTATATGGGATTCATGATACCATTTGTTCTACATCTGCCTATTTAAAATTTTTCACAGGGAGGCCAGAAGGAAGGAGAGCTATAACACTTAGGACGAAGGATTGTCAGGACTTGGTTTATCTGCATCTGCTTATCAAATTAAATATAGTACTACCCCTGATCTTAATCCACAGTGAGCTGAGCAGCTCTGTATTGTAAGCTGTTCCGTTAACTTCTCAGATAACAAAATGTTAACACAGGAAGAAATTTGAGATATACCCAACTGGGGCATCTGGTTTTGCCCCAGATGCAATATTCTTAGAAAGTTATGGATAGATGTTTGGGTAAGACACTACTCTTCCCCTCGTTGCTCCATTTTTCCCTGAGAAAAATGAACAAGGCAATGAAATGTATTCAAATTTTTATTTTCTCTAGAAATTTGGGCAAACTTTTTAGAGGAAACCACCTGCATGATGGGAAATGGGAGTGCCCAACTGCACCCAGTGTTCAAAGGAAGAAATCAAATTTGGCCAAGGTTCGCCAGTCTCAGTCTTCCTGCCCTGGCCTCGACTCCAAGGTTATGAATAGCCTTTCAAAGGGGAAAGAGGTCAATCCAGAGTTCAAGGCAACAGAGTCTGAAGACATGTAATACTGACGCTCCTGTCACCTCAGCTTAGCACGCAGGCTGGTGTTTTTGTTGCTTGTGAGGAAATCGGCCCAATTTCTCAGGCTCTTTTTCCACCCCATTCCCAGCATGAGTGGAATCTGGCCAGTCCTTCGTCCCAGAAAGCTGCCAACTCTCCAAGTCTTGAGAAGAATGGTTTGTCAGCAAGAATTGTCTTGTGCCATGAGCCAGCCTCTCAAGAGGGTTGGGTGTGCAAAGATTTCCACAAGGGTCAGGAGGATCCAAGTAGGCAGGCTTCACAGCAGAAGCAGCAGCCAGTCAGCAGGACGATCCTTTACTGTTGGCCTTCTCTTTCCCCACTTCCAGTATCGCATGGATCGGGCCTGATAAAGCCATGGCTTTTCCCCCAGCTATTCCCACTGGATTCCTAGGAGCTCACAGCTGACATTCCACAGACGCTCAGCTGTTTTCTTATTTCGGGCCCTTGGGGACACCCAGGTCCTCTTGCAGTCACTGGAAGGCAGATACAGAGGGTAAACAGTAGGAGTGAGAACTGGCAGTCAGGCAAGGCTTGTGGTCTCTTCCTCAGAATATATTTCTAAATGTATAAAATGTAATATACTGGATTTTAAAAAACTATACTGAAATGCATTTTTAAAATATTTTACAAACAAAGTTGTGATACAGTATTACACAGGATTCTTTATCAATATATTCTGCAAGATCTAGCAAGAGGACGTCTAGGAGAAGGAAATCTAGCAGATTTCGAAGCAGTGGTGAACAGAAGCGACATGATGAGAAAGCAGCTGCAAATCCAGTGTGATGTGGAAACAGTTATAATTCCTTTGGCAGCAAGGCCACGGGTATCACCACTACTACTGTGGTTCATGGCTTGCATTCTTATTTGAAAGAAATACTAAGTTTCAGTTGGAGGTTTGTGAAATTAAAGATGAAAGCATTTCCTCATTCAAGCTTACAGACCTCCTCGAATTCTAACCACGGGGCCACGTATGCCCCATAAGCCCTAGAATAGGTGCCTGTTTTGCTTTGGAAAGGATGCAGGAGGAGACTGGGGACTAGAGAGATAGTAGGGTAGAGAAGAACACAGCTCTCACAAGGGGCTTCTTTTTCCCTGGTGGTGCTGGGGATTGAATCCAAGGCCTTGCACATGCTAGGCCAGTGATCTGCCACTGTGCTATTCTGTCAGCTCTGGGCTTTTTTTAAGTGAATATTTTTTCCTAGCTACGAAAGTTCTGTGTGGCCTTTGGAAAATATAGTACTAACAAAAGAAGAAAAGCCTATCACTTACATAGCTGCTTTTCCTTACAGTCTTGCTTGCTTTGTTCCTGTATAAATAGATACACAGTATAGTCTGTCTCTTTTGTCTACACACAACTAGGATCAAACTATATTTAATTTGGGGAGGATTTTTTTTCTTGTTAAAAATATATGTTTTTTTCAGGCACAGCTATAATCCCAGCTACTTGGGAGGCTGAAGCAGGAGAAGCATAAGTTCAAGGACAGCTTGGGCAATTTAGCAAGACCCTGTCTCAAAACAAACAAAAAGAGTGGAGCACTGGCAGTGTAGCTCAGTCACAGAGTGCTTCCCTACTACGTGTGAGGCCCTAGGTTCAATTCCCAGTACAGCAATAACAAGGTCTCACAGTCTAGTCCGGGGGTGGCCTTGAACATATGCTCCTCCAGCCCACACACCTGACTAAAAGTTTTTTAAATAATAAAGAGATATCTAGAATAAAAAGCTGTAGGCTTTTATCTTCCCTCATATTCTACCTGACTCTCCTTCAAACTCCCTAAAAGTAAACACTACTACTCGGTGACCGGGTACCCTTCCAGACTGTTCTTCATGTATTTTCAATGGATACTCACATGGCTTTTTATTATATGCTTTTTCTCACAGTGTTACATTACCAACATTTTCCCACAAAGTAAATATTATTTAATAATATTATATTTAATGAGTTTAGTATTCTGTCACATCTTTAAGACAGTAACTTAAACACTCTGACTCTAGATTAGATTAGTTCAATGAAAATATGCTGCGGACCACAGATGTGAACCACGTAGGTAATTTAAAAATTTTGGGGGGTGTACCAGGGATCAAACTCATGTCCTTGTGCTTACAAGGCAGGCAGCAGAACCACTGAGCTAAATCCCCAGCCCTAATTAAAATCTTTCTATGAACTACATTTAAGAAGTAAAAAAGAAGTTGGTGAAATTAATTTTAGTAATATATCTATCTTATTTAATCCAATACAGCCAAAACATTTCAGCATGTAGCCAATGTGAAAAAATATTAATGGGACATTTTGCATTTCTTTTTTCACACCATGTCTTCAAAATGTGGTGGGCATTTTACACTAAGAGCACATCTTCATTTGGACTAGTCATATTTCAAGTATCCGAAGCCGGGCATGGTGGTGCATGCCTGTAATCCCAGCACTTGGGAGGCTGAGGCAGGACGATCGCTGTGAATTTGAGACCAGCCTGGGCTACATAGTGAGTTCCAGGTCAGACTCAACTACATAGTGAGACCCTGTCTAAAAAAACAAATAAAAAAAATCAAGTATCCAACACGGCTAGTTCATGTGCCCAGTGGCAGCCACCGTGAACAGTACATTTCCAGCTGACGTCAAACTGCTTGGGTACGAACCTCAGCTCTACCACTTACAAATTCTAAAAACTTGAGCAAGTTTCTTAATTGTTCGATGCCTGAGTTTCATCTGAAAGATGGACCTAGTTACCCACCTGTCAGAATTGTGATGATTACAGGAGTTAATATGCCTAAAAATTTCGAAGAATGCCAAACACATTACAAGAACCCAAGCGACATTATCAGCTAATGACAAGTAGTTATTCTTGTTTATTCATCCCCTAGTGTTGGACACGGAGGTTATTTCCAGTGCTTCACTTCAGCGGTGCTCTGATGAACAGCCTTGAACAAGGTGGAACAGCGGAGTGGCCTGGGCTGAATTAAGTCACAGAATGGGAAGATTTCATTCTGGGCTTCCTTTACTCACAAACTCGTACTGCATGCTAAATTAGAGCTAAGAGTCAGTACCGAAATGTCTACATTTCAACAGATAGAGCCAATCCTGACACCAATGGGACACAGGATTCAGAGAGCAGAGATTTATCCTTCCCTCAGCACTTGCTGTTGAGTACTATTAAAGGATGCATGAGCTAACCAGCCAAAGGCTTAAAGGAGGCGAAGAAGGATCCAGAAGGCCCACTCACGTTCTCTCTATGGCACAGCCCACCAGAACAGTCTCAAACAGCTTTCAGAAACCTATGGAGTCGATGTGGAAACATAGCAACTAGGTATAAAGTAGAGCCATGAAACCAATTATTTCTAACCTAAGTTTCTAATATAAATTTCTTTGGAAAAGTCATAGCAAGTGGTTTGCAGGCCCAACCCAAACCTGGATTCTACCATCAGGCACAACTTGGCTGCTTGAGTTCCTAGGCCCACACACAGGTAATGGAGAGAACCCATGCATGCTGTCATCACCCACCTGAAGTACTTGCCACTCAGGGGTTCCAGGCCCTCAGCCAGGGCACAGTGCAGGCTGGTCTGTGCCCCCGCTCGCGTGGACTTGACAAAGAGGGAGAAGAGTCGCCACAACAGACACAGAAGGAAGGAGTGCCGGGTCAGCTCAGAGCTGACGATGCCTGGGTGCACTGCATAGGTGGTGACCCCTGTGCCTAGGACAAAGATGGCACAGTGAGACCAAGGACACACTCTGAGCCCAGGAAATTGCTCATCTCTGTAAGAAAATACATAAGTGAGAAGGAGGGACTCAGGAAACCCAACCCCAGGGTTCAGAATGTACCACTCCTACTGAAGAATTTGTCCAGTAAGAAATTAACCTGGTCCAAAGGCAGGGGATTTAGCACAATGGTTCTGCCCCCTGCCTCGCAAGCACAAGGTCTGGAGTTCAATCCCCAGTACAAAAAAAAAAAAAAAAAG